CAAAAGAAGTCAAGAGGATGTTAAAGTTCTGATGAACTGTCAAGGGTCAGGAGTATGGGCACAGGTAGATGGGACCTCTTGCCTCTTGGGTTTCTTGGGAATTTGCTTGTTTTAATCGATTTTACACTTGCACACCCACACTATCTTTCTCCCCTATTTCCTTCTCTCTGTCTGCCTGCCTCTGACAAGCAGACTCTGCCCCTGTCTCTGTCTGTCTGTTTGTCTGTCTGTCTGTCTGTCTCTCTCTCTCTGTTTTTCTCACTCTCTATCTATCTATCTCTCTTTCTCCTCTGTCAATCTCTCCAACAACAACTAAAACAACATCACACACACACACACACACACACACACACACACACACACACACACACACACACGCACGCACACACTTACACACACACACACCTCCCCACACCCATAGGCACGAACGAACACAAAAACAAACACAAACACACATACACTCATACGCATTTGCATGTGCACACTGTTACATATTCGCATTCTAGATTAAGGTCGAATGTCTGTACATTAAGATAATCTTGGAAAATAAACAAAATAGTTATTGTTCTAAGTTTTACCCTCACAGTAGCCTACCTACCTGGCGCTAAAAATTTAAAAAGCAACAACACAAAAACAACAAACAACAACAACAACAATATAAAACAAATATATATCCATGTGATATAAATAAATCAATGCACACTATACGTAACGTAGCTTGTTTAATCATACCCTTACACAGTTCACGTCATTTTTTGCACTCGTTTGGCTAATCTTGGTGGTTACCGGAATCCTAATTGTGAGATTGCGTGCCCAATGCCCAGGGTCGCTCGACGTTTTGTCCTTGAATTATATATACTAGACACTGACCCGTTCTACGAACGGTGATATAGTAATAGGAAAGCCCAAGATAAAATTAATGTTTGTACGGGCACCTGATTCATTGCCGTAGGACCTCTGTGTAGACAACATTGCTGGTATATGCGCCATCTGGAACTCCGTCCTGGGCAGCAGGTCTGTTTGCATATATCCTGTCCTGGGCAGCAGGTCTGTTTGCATATATCCTACTGGATTCCCTGGACCCAACACGACTCTTTGCGATATATAATTGTCCATGTGAAAAAAATCGCCCTGTAAAGAAACCCCTATTCTTTTCAAAGTCTGTCCCTAGGATTTGTTGGCAGTCATTGCAAAAGCAGGTCTAACCGAAATTGTTTCCGTCGCATATGGAAAGGAAATACGTTGTCTGAAGGCATGAGAGGAATTCTTGGGATGAAAAGTCTCTTTCTTGCATGTGGACCGCAAGCAACGAGAGCATCAATTACATGTTGATGAAGGTTTTGAACCACATATCGAGTCCCGTTGCAGTGGCCGTTTGTGGGATCCAGATTTCTCAGCAACATGACAATGCTGTCTTTCTGCAATGTCAGTTTGTGGGGTGGCATACCTGACGGACATAGAGAATTGATAAATTCGTTCACTTCTCCGGGAAAGGACTGCATGATCAGGTTTTTGATTCTGTCTACTTCTGTGTTGGTGGGACAGATGATGCAGCGGGGAGCCAGCCAGTCATGATTTGTGTTAGACTGCAAATTACCGAAGACAAAATTTATCAACTCTCGTTCTCTCTTTACTGTGATGTCATCTGGCAGTTTTATCGCAAACTCCCCGATTTGCTTGTATATATCGTGCTTGCCATCACCAATGTTCAGTAGATAGTTGGAGAAATCAGCAGTCTCACCTGTAAGCGAAACCCTCCTGTTTCTTGTCAGTCTGAGCACATTAACATGCTCCCACAGATATGATGTTTTCAGCGTTGCATTGACTATCTGTGAGCCATGGTGAGCTACTGGTAGTACTTGGCGCCAGTCACCTGACATCAGCACATTTAGCCCACCGAACAGAATGTTATTCCTACCTATGTCTTGAAGTGTTCGGTCTATAGCTTCAAAGATGTGTTTGTGGCCCATCGATACTTCATCAATGATGAGCAGCTCTGTTTGGCGTAATAAAGTGCCATTGGCATCTTGGAGACTCACACTGCACATGGACTGTTCGTTCACACTCAGGGGTATTTTGCATCTGCTGTGTAATGTTCTGCCATTTGAGAGCAAAGTTGCTGCAATGCCTGACAGAGCTGTATCAAGGGCGATCTTCTTAAAGGAACGTACAGCCGCAAGAATCAGGTTTATAGTGTGGGTTTTCACCTGTCCCTCCACTTGCCTCCAGGGCAAATATCTTGCCTTGCTTCTGTATTACTGACTCTATCACAGCATCATACACGACTCTTTGTTCTTCACTAAGCTTTGGGTACTCTTGACTCACCTTCTCTCTCAGCTTGAAGTTCATTCAAAATGTCTGGCCGTAAAATATGTGACAGTCTCAGCCTATCCTGAAGCTCTGTCAGAGTCATGAAAAAAATCTGTGCAACTTTGGTTCAGTTCCAGCAGAGGGAAGAAGATTTCCTAATCGGTGATACGGCTTGCCCAGGATTTTGAAGGTTGGATTGAAACCCTTTTCAGCTTGTTCACTGCACCCAATGGAAGCAAGGGCGAGAGCATTATTGTATGACCTACAGTGTGGTAAGAAAGAGCTGCTGCTCTGTGCGACATCGTAATACTTTATTAATTCCCGAGGAGGTGGGGAAGTAGAGGTATACTAACCTTTCCATTTTGGCAGCAGAATGTATTTCTCTCTTCTCTCCATCTCATGGCATTGCAATGATCACAGACAACACTGAATTCACCACAGTCATGTGTCCGTAATCTTTGGTCAACTTCAGTTTCACTAAACGACTGTGGGTTGCACGCTATGGCCAACGTTGGGCCATTCTTTCTTGGCCAAGGACGCTCAAGGTCTTCCTCTAGATTCTGACTATTAGAACGTAAATTCTGTTTGGCAGTCGCCTTTCTCCGTTTCCTCTCGCTTTCACCTCTGTTTTGTGGGGTTAAACAAACTCTATGTTTAAGGGGCATCTTATTACATTATTAAGTTTATTAACTAATATTCCATGGGCCAATAGAAGCAGCTGAAATAGAACTATGTGGCATACACACACGACAAACACGAACGGCACTTCTGTTCTTGCTAACTACTGCAAAAAAGTACAAATCTGTGGCACACACACGACAAAGCAGAAACCGCACTTCTGTTCTTGCGAACTACTCACACGTACAACAAAGCTTGAGACCGAAACAGAAGTAGTCCCCAGTAAAATATGAAATGGCTAAAGGTAGAGTGAAAACATCCGAGAGCTTCGATTTACAGGAAAAACCCATTAAACCTGAAAAATCAAAAGGTAGTTTCCAAACTTTGAAAATATGCCCACGTAACCCTTTGAGGCAATTCTTGTCTGAATCATATTTTTGTAGATTTTAAGGGCATCTGTGTAAAAAGTTTTTACTGACCCCAAAAAACGGGTTTAGCTCCATTATAAATATTATATATATATATAGTTTTATATATTTGCATTTGTCTAGATCTAGGTCTTATCCGAGATGGACGTTACGTTCGGAGGTCTCACCTCTTAACTGACTATATAGTGTTGCAAATGAGCTTTAAATGTACATTTCGCACTTATTGTTTATAAAGCGCACAGAGCGTGCTGTAGATGGTGGATATGTGCTATAAGAATACAACATTATCATTATTACTATTATTGTTGTTATTATTATAGAACTACTTATTATTATAATCATCATCATCTTCATTATTATTGTTATTATTATTATTATTATTATTATTATTATTATTATTATTATTATTATTATTATTATTATTATTATTATTATTATTGTTGTTATTGTTATTATTATTATCACTATTATTATAACATTATTATTAATATTATTGTTCATTATTATTATTGTTATTGTTATGGCTAGTCTGGTCAGCGTAGACAGGAAATCTGTCGGACCTGAGTCCAACTGTAAAACAGAAATCTGCTAGAGCAAGCTTGTACGCCTGAAGTTTGCAATTACACCATCCGTCTGTCATCTTCCTCTCTATCATCCATCACCCAAAATACAGTTAAATTGTCATCTTGTCGCTACCCTAGAATTACATACAAAGTTCTGTGCTCCCAGTAGCTAGTTTGAAAAATTTGACTGAAAACAACAACAACTGAGTTTCACAATAATGACAATAATATTATTTCAAGCTATTCCAAATGCAATTCTTTGAATATCTTGAAAATGACTCAGAATAAGCTTGCTATTTTGATAGAGCAGATATAACATTTGGCCTCTAACCTCATGGTTTTGATAATTCAAAACAGCTAAGAATGTCAGATACAACTTTGTAATTATAAGGTAGAGTAATATTAATATAAAGATATATAATTAAAGCAATCATCCTCTTTTCTTACACCGCCTATTTGTAACGGAATAGAGGCGTAGAATTCCTATGGAGATGGCTGTTGTCAGGCGGATTAAAACAGACCACCCCGAACTTTCTATCAGGCAAACGTTCCCTAAAACAAAGTATTAACCATATAATTCTGGCCGTCTTGACAAACACATACTCAAAGCCTTTTATCTTTGGACAACAAATTGTGTCTGGCCAGTTTGCCGTCATCTCAGAACAGCGAATGTGTTTGTAAAAATATCTCTTATCTTCCAACTGGATCGGTGA